CGGTAACGGATCGTCATCATGGATGTCCCCTCTCCCTTACAGCAACATGATGAGAGATCGTCATCATGGAAACAAAACAAAAACAAAACAACACACACACAAAAACAGATTCTAGCAGATATTTCTAAGGAAGTCTCTTGTAAGACTTTTGGACTTCAGTGGTTGTTAATAAGCCCTGTGAAAATAAATTCTACCCTCTAGTGTGTCTCTGATGCCGAGTGGATCACTTCCTTAGTAACCTGTGGACCTGGTGATAGTAGTCACATTTATATCCCTTTCTCCTAAGATGTAAATATCTACATAGATTATCTTTACAAGTTGAGAAGGCATCTGAGGCATGACTCCCCTTACTTCTTCTCCCACAAGAGAAAATTAAAAACAAAAACAAAGCAACTCTACCAGAGTTACACATATTTTTGTAAGTATACGCATAAATAAATATTTATAGAACTATGTATTTATATATGTGTATATGTCAAATATATATTATTATATAAACAACATAAATATATACAATAAGATATATATAAAATAATACAATAGGTTTTATTTTCCCATGCACAAAATTAGCATTGTAGGGCTTTTCCCCTTAATAAAGCTTTTTAGGATATACATATATGCCCATAGGATAAACGTATCTTGCAAATTCTCTCTCTCTCTCACCCTAGCATTTCTTGAAACAATTTTTTTTTTAAGAGAGAGAAAGAGAGAGCAGGGGTGGGAGGGGCAGAGGGAAAGGGAGAGAGAGAATCTCAATCAGGCTCCACACCCAGCGTGGAGCCTGACGTTGTGGGACTCGATCTCACAACTCCGAGATCATGACCTGAGCCAAAATCAAGAGTTGGATACTTAATTGACTGAGACACCCAGGCGCCCCTCTTAAAACAATTTAACCAAAACAAAGAGACCAGATAAAACACAGGTTAAAAGGTTTGCAGGATATTTAAAGTACATCTTTAAATGAAAATGATGGCTGTATTAATACAATTAATTGGGCTAAAAATTATGTTTAAAATTTCCATTTTAATGAAATGCCAAATAAGAAAGCGATGGAATGTAGAGAAGGAGAAGATAAGCCAATGGGTTTGTCGTGCATGTTTTTTCCCAACCAGGAAGCAGGCTTTAAAGACTGAGGGAGTAGTGGTGCCTGGGTGGCTCAGTTGTTAAGCATCTGCCTTCGGCTCAGGTCATGATCCCAGGGTCCTGGGATCGAGCCCCACATCGGGCTCCCTGCTCAGAGGGGAAGCCTGCTTCTCCCTCTCCCACTCCCCCTGCTTGTGTTCCCTCTCTCATTCTCTCTCTCGCTGTCAAATAAATAAATGAAATCTTTAAAAAAAAGCTTAAAGAAAAAAAGATTGAGGGAGTAGTAAGAGACTATGCATTATCACTAAAATCATCACAGTTGGATTGCTGACCTATTTTCCAGGTCAGATCTGGTTCCAGATCTGGTTCCTCTAGGTTGAATAGAGGTAGCCACACAGAAAACAAAGGATAAGGGCATTTCAGGACTGGTATATCCTGAGAGTATAGAAATGCCTTCATTATTTCAAAACAAATGAAATGACAGATGGTTGCCAACAGTAGGAAATACCTGTGCTGTGTTCAAGAGGCCTGGACCAGAAGAGGAACCAGATCAAATGTTTGCTCTTCTGGAAAGCCTGTCTTGACCCTCACTCAGGACCAATGAGTAATTCCCAGAGCACTTTGTACCTCTAAGGGCAGCAATGACTAGAAAGTCAGAGACATTTCCTGACATAGCAGGCACTTTATAATCATGTACTGAATGAACAAATGAATGAATGAACATGGTAATACTGTAATGAGCTGCTAAGACTGATCCTCACATTTTTTTTATTAACATAATGTATCATTTGTTTCAGGGTACAGGTCTGTGATTCAACAGTCTCACACAATTCACAGTGCTCACCATAGCACATACCCTCCCCGATGTCCATCACCCAGCCACCCCATCCCTCCCACCCCCACCACTCCAGCAACCCTCAGTTTGTTTCCTGAGATGAAGAGTCTCTTATGGTTCGTCTCCCCCTCCAGTTTCATTTTTCCCTCCCTTACCCTGTGATCCTCTGTCTTGTTTCTCAAATTCCTTATATCAGTGAGATCATATGATACTCACATTTTAAAAACCTTGATGTCAAAAAGTAGATAGAGTGCTATTTTGAGATTCATGATCTTTCTGATTCTTCTTTGGGGGAATGCTAACCTTTACTGTGAAGCAAAATAATTTTTATTTTTAAACTTAGGGTACCAGATTAGAAGGAACTAGAACAGAATATTAGAATAGGCAGCTCCAAGCTCCCATCAACAGAAACAAAAAACAAGCAGAAACTGTCAGAGCTAACTTTGTCAGAATTCTGGAAAGCAATCAAAGGTTTTTTTTTTTAACAACCGAGGAAACACTAAATCAAGAAAAAAAGCAACTTAAAAAATGCTCCTGGTGTTCAAGGAAACCTCTGTCAAAATATTAGCTAAACACAGTCTAACATAACAGGAACTTCAGGGATGACACATGACAAGGAATATGGTGTTTGCAAAAGTAGTTTGTAAAAGTTACTTTATAAAGGACAAGTACTGCCTTCAACAATCAAAAAAGAGCAAACCCTACAAAAGGAGAGAATCTGATTTCTGGAGGCCCTTTATTATAATACTCAAATGTCAGGTTTTCAACAATAAAATCACAAGGCCCATTCAAAGGAACAGAAATTATCCCTGAGGATGCCCAAACATTGGATTTACTAAACAGAGACTTTATTTTTTTTAAGAGAGAGAGCAGCATGAGCAGGAGGGGCAGAGGGAGAGGGAGAGAGAATCTCCAGCAGACTCCGCCCAACGCAGGGCTTGATCTAACAACCCCAAGATCACGACCTGAGCTGAAACCAAGAGTTGGATGCTTAACTGACTGAGCCACCCAGACACCCCCAAATAGAGACTTCAAAACAACTATCTTAAATATGCTCAAAAAGGTAAAGAAACCATGGAAGGAAACCATATGTTAGGGTACAAAACAGTCTCAATACATTTTGAAAGATTAAAATCATACAAATTATCTTCTCTGACCACAAAAAAAATGAAGCTAGAAATCAATAATAGAAGAAAGCTGGAAAATTCACAGATATATGGAAATTAAACAACACATTCTTAAACAGCCATTGTGTCAAAAAAACCACAAAAGTTAGAAAATACTTCAAGATAAATAAACAAAAATACACAACATACTAAGACTTAGGGGGGATGCAGTGAAAGGCAGTAATCGTAGGGGATTTAATAGCTATAAATGTCTACCTTAGAAAAGAAGAAATATCCCAAATCAATAACCTAATTTCATACCTTGATGAATTAGAAAAAGAAAAGCAGGCTAAACCCAAAGCCAGCAGAAGGAAGGAAATTAAGATGAGAGCAGAGACAAATGAAATAGAGAATAGAAAAACAACAAACTTAAATCACTGGTTCTTTGAAAAGATGAACAAGACTGACAAATGTTTAGCCATACATAAAGAAAAAAAGAGAAAAGATGCAAATAACTAAAATCATAAATGAAAGTGGGAACACATGACTTCCAGCCTTACCTTATAGAAATAAAAAAAACGAGGGTGTACATCAACAAATAACATGTAGATGAAATGGACAAATTTCTAGAAAAACACAAATTACTACGCTGTACAACAAATAACATCTAGATGAAATGGACAAATTTCTAGAAAAACAAATTACTACGAAAACTTTAGAAGAAATATAAAATCTCAACGGACCTATAACAAAGAGTCATCTACAAGTAAAAATCTGTAATAAGAAACTTTCCAACAAAGAAAAGTCCAGGACCAGATGATGTTAGCAGTGAATTCTACCAAACGTTTAAAGAAGAAATAATACCAATCTTTCTCAAACTCATCTGAAAAAAAAAAAAGAGGAGGAGGGAACACTTTCTAACTCATTCTATGAGCCCAGCTTTACCCCAATACCAAAACAGCTAAAGACATCAAAAGAGAAGAAAATTACCAATTTTCATTATGAATATAGATGAAAGAATCTTCAACAATGTTCTAGCAAACCAAGCCCAACAGTATATTAAAAGATTACACATAATGAGCAAGTGGGATTTATCCCAGGAGTGTGAGAATGGTTCACCACAAGAAAACCAGCCAACATAACACATTGCATTAATAGAACTAAGAAAAGAAAAATGTGCAAATTAACTCATTTGACCCAGAAAAAGACATCTGACAAAATTCAAAACCCTTCATGATGAAAACACTAAAAAAAACCCTAGGAATAGAAGAATACTTCAACAAGATAAAGGGCTTTTACAAAAAAACACACAGCTAACACAATACTCAATGGTAAAAGGTATTTCCCCCTAAGAGCAAAAAAAAAAAAAAAAAAAAGCAAAGATGCCTGCTTTTGCCATTGCTATTCAACAATGTCCTGGAATTTCTAGCCAGAGCAATCAGGGAAAGAAAAGAATTAAAGGCGTCCAAACTGTAAAGAAGAGTAAAACTATCCTTATTTGCAGATGACATGGTCTTATAGGTAGAAAATCCCACGGAATCCACAAGGAAGCTGTAGAGCTAAGAAATGAGCTCAGCAAAGTTGCAGCATACAGAATCAACAAAGAAAAATTGGTTGTGTTTCTATACACCAGGAATTAACAATCCAAGAAGGAAATTAATGATTCCGTTTCCATAGTATCCAAAAGAATACTTAAGAATAAGTTGAACCAAGGAGGCGAAAAATTTGTACTCGCAAAAGCTGCAGAACATCGCTGAAAGAAATTAAGGAGAAAACAAATGGGGTTTGGGGTAACAAAAAATTTTGGAACCAAAGAGTGGTGGTAGCTGTAGAGCAACGTGAATGTACTTCATGCCACTGAATTGCACACTTAAAAATGGTTAAAATGGGAAATTTCATGTTACATGTATTTTACCTCAATAAAATTTTAAAAACAAAAGATCAAGCGGTTGTACACTTCCCTGAGTACAGATGGAAGAGCCTGTTTTGATCATGGGCAAAGCCACTTCTTGGGAAAGGATTCTGACATCGATATGAGGCCTAGAAGAAAGGGGAAGCAGCGTCCCTCATTTGGGCGGTCTTCGAAAATGCTAGGGTCTGTACTGTGGGTAAGTGGCTCGTCACCTTTCACATCAGGAGGGAGGCTTCCTGGGGCTGGGCGTTGGGGAAGAACTAGAACAAGAGGGACCCCAGGAAGATGTCCAGTGGGGCAACATGACCTTGTAAGTCCAAGAAGAGCGGTGCTCAATTTTCACTGTCCAGTTACAAAATTTCATTTCCTTCCAATATACTGAGCCTCTTGTTTATGGAGCCTATACTGTATGAAGGCACTGTTGGGGCACCATGAAGACACTGGTAGGTACGACCTGGGCTTCCCCCACAAGAAGCCTTCATTTTAGTGGGGTAGAAAAAGAAACACAAATAAACACATAAATATTTGTAAATTATATTAATGTCACAAAGGAACATTTGTGACATTAGGGGCTGAGAAAGAGTGCGGTAGCTAAGACCTTATGTTCGGCAAATGGCGTTTAGGGGATAAAGGACAATAGGAAACCCCCTAAGTCAAGATCTGAGAGTAGAATATTGAAGGAAAAGGGAAGAGCGAAGGTCCTAGGGAAGGACGAAGCCTGTAGTTAGTGAGGGTCAGATACATATAAGGTCGTGTAGTTGGAGGGTCTTGAGCGAGGGCAAGAATGACCAAGTACAAGGGCGGCTGGGGAAGGGAGTTGGACTGGGTAGAGTGTGGTAGGCACGGTGAAAAGTTATTCACAAACTGCTGTCATCGTGGAAACTTTAGAATACTTATAATAAGGATGATCTCTCAGGCTTGGCTACATTTGGGGGCTGTCCATGGAAGAGCCTGCATGGGCAAGCTCTACAGGTGCACAGCAGGGAACAAGCCTGGAGAAGCCAGCTGGTTACGATGCCAAGAACAGATCCTTAGGAGAAAGGGGGTTGAAGTGAGAAGCAATGGGCACGATGGGTTTGTGCCACGGCGAAGCCTCCCTTGGAAGGCTGTAGAAAAAGGCTGCTGCCCTTGAGGACGGGCAGCAGGCCTGAAGCCCGTTCTATGAACAACAGCATGTGGACTTGGATAAACTGACCGTGAAAGTATATAGTGTCCCTGGAGGACTAGAGATATGAAGGACATTGAGAATATTTATTTGTTTGCAGAGCTACCAATTGGAGTGTCTTCCAGGAAATTGTAAGATTTGAAATGAGAGCTTGAAGAGGGCAATAACTGAATGAAGTTCATGGCAGAGCCAGAGTCCCCTGTGAAATGTTCATGCTCTGCTAGGAACCCCAGCGCTGCCCAGACCTGCCATTTCAGAAGCCTGGGTGTTCAGTGACTCTGTGCCTTTACAAAACAGCAACATGGGGTGCTAAGCAGCCCTCCCACCAGAAGCTCTCCAACCGAGGGCGTCAGGAAGAGTCCCGTGACCCTGGGTCTGGCGGGCACCTGCTTACCTGGGAGGAATCACATTTCCTCCTCTCTTTCTCCTTCTTTGCCAGACGTTTCTTTTTCTTGTGAAGAGGTTTGGACTCCAGAATCATTTCTTCGAGTTCGAAGGTGGGGTCGCAATTCAGCCGGCCTTTCTGCAAGAAAGACCAGTTGGCTCAGTCCTTTGATTCTGGCTCATTCTACAAATACGCCAGACCTAATACCAGGAACAGCACCTAGTTTTGATGGAGCCGTTCAGGAATAAGGAGGTGGGATTCCTACTCTGTTTTAGATAATTTATGGCTGGCATTGTTTTTCATACTCTTCAATTTTATATTTTGTTTGTTTTCTAAACTCCTCACGAGCCCTCAGTGAGTAAGGAAATCAAACTCTAGTTGTTTTTCCGAAGTTTGAACTTATGAATTATGTTTCTCAAAGTGTGTTCTGACGATCATGTATGTAGATCCCAATCACCTGAGTTGTTGGCCCAGCTGCCCAGTTCCCTGGCCAGACCTCCAGAGTCAGTGTTTCTGAACAGAGGCTGAGGAAACTACATTTTTAACAAGCTTCCCAGATGATTTGGATGGATGGTAAAGTCAGAGACTCATACATAGAGCCTCTCCTGAGGCAGGGTGGATGGCCAATGGCTGTGGTGTGTGCATAGGAGGAAGAGTGGACGCAATAGGAGGTGTGTGTAGATCTCCACAGTGTCATGCATCCATCAGCCAAGGTACACGCTGCCCCAACAGGACTCTGCAACACAGCCAGGTAAGACCTACTACACCTACCTTCTTGTTGATCCATAAGAGAGCAACTCCCCAACACAGAATTCTACCACACTGCCTACTCATGTCTCCTACTGTGCTCTTTCACCCAACCCACCCACTGGTGAGGCTCCCTCTGTTTGCACAGGATGGATCACACCCCCACAAGCCCTCGGAATGTGCCTTCCTTGGGCTGAACCACAGAAAACTATGAACTGACTCAACTGTACCCTTCAGGAGTTCATTATTCTGCCAGTCTACCTGATACTGAATGTGTAGACTCAGACTGGCAGAGGGAAGCTAGAGGCCTCCCTTGGGTCCCTTGGCCGAAGCTTCTGGACTCTAGCTTTTACCAGCGGTGTGCAGGAGGCCACAGATGTCCCCCAGCCAGGTACTCACCCAGCAGGAATGATTTCCCTTTGGCTGTTTAGTCCTTATGAATGTAGCTCCGTGGCAGTGAACCACTAAAGGAAGAGGGGTGAGTGGTAAAAATAACCCCAACATTTTCAATGCTGTGACTCACAGAACTCCTTGGAAACAAATTTCTACATCTTTGAAATCTGAGAAAACACTGTTTCCTCAATGAGCAGATTCTGGGGAATGACTGTTTGGAGGACTAGGGCTTCCTTCCAGTAGAAGCATACCACAAAAAGTGATTAGGAGCTAGAACTTCAGATGCCGATAGACCTGGACAAGAACCCCACTTGGCCACTTGCTAGCCACGTGACCTTTGGTGGCCCATTTACCCGGTGTGTGCCTCCATTGTCTCATCTGTGAGACAGGGATTGGGCTGTCTTACAACACTGGTGGGGCTATCTAATGATACCGTGTTTGTAACTGAATGAGAGTTACTATGGGTTTGTTAGGATTAACTCACGTTAGGAATAAAACCTGGAATGAGCCTCTTCTGCAAAACCGCATCCCAGTTCATGTCATTCATATATGGGAAGTTCTGAACATCAGACAAGTGAGAAAATCGTTGGTCTGGATTAGGCTCAAGTAGCTGCCAATGGAATACAAACATCAAGATCATAATGAAGGTCAAAGTGGGGCAAAAAAATCATACAAATTCCCTCTAAAAGTTTTCAGGTGTGGGTGTGAAGGATACAAGGTAGTTCCCCTTCCCTAATCCTATCAAATAATAAAGATAATACATACATAAATAATGCGATAATGCGTGGATAGAATGAGCTGTAAGTAGGTTTTTGCAGTGTGGTGAGTGAAAATAGATTGTCCTATTGAGTCAAACATACCTTTGATTCCTGACTCCCTTACTTTATAAACTATGGGCAAGTTTGTCCTCTAACCCTTAGTTTGCCCTCTATAAAAAGGGGATAAGAGCCTATTTCGTATGGTTGTAGCTAGGAATAAATGAGGCCATGTATATAAAGTACCTAAGAGAAGGTCTGCCCTTATTAGGTGGTGAATGCTCATGCGTTTTTACAAATGAAATTAATTTCCTACTAAAAGTTTTAGCTGTTCATACAATTAATCAAAATATATTGGATGTGACACAGATAAGATGTAACCAAGATTGCTGTTACAGTTTGGGGTTTTGCTAAGTGTGATTAAAGATTTTCCCCCTGTAACTGCTCCACAGTCAGTATCACATCAGTCCTGTTGGTCAAATGGAAAACGTCAGTTCTGCTTGAGAACACTCCTGGAGACTACAGCTGTGGATCATCGGGGTGTAATTTTGGGGTGAGGAGGGCTGTCTTGAAATTGAGGACAATTTGCTTATGGAAAATGACCCCTCCCTTCTTCATCTTTGACATTATCAATATCCCTATTCCAAAACAGGGAACTTGACCCCAAAGGCAGGAGGCACAGGTATGAATCCTAGGCCCTCAAAGCTCTTGTCCTTCACCAGCCACAACCTGTGCGATTTTCCCTCTTCAAAGAAAACCAAGTGCATCCTGTGGGGCTCCTCATTCTTACCTCCATATAATCATTCAGTGCATACTACTTAGCTGCTGCTGCAATTGCCATTAATCTTTTCCATGAACATGGGTACCCTGAAAATCTGATGGACACCATGGACCTCGTTTATTCAAATACCAGATTTTACCACCTGTCAGGCTCTGTGCTAGATACCAAGGTAGCATGGTGAAGAAACCTGATGTGGTCCCTCCTCATAGGCCTTAGAAGACAGTAATCATTAGCCCAAGAATCACACACATATAATGCCTAAGTTCAAATTAAAAAAAAATAGTATGAAGGAAAGATAGTGCTACCTGAGCTTAAAACAGAAGAAAGCTTCCCGAGGAAGTGATATTTAAGCTGAGATCTAAAGCTGTGCTTCTCAAACTATCTATGTAGAAGGGCCACTTTTTTCTGTTTAATTTCCTACCCGGTGAGATCAGTATGTACCACGTACAACTTGTGATTTGAGTTAATACCCTGTTCAATGAGATGAGTCCACTGACCATGTACTTAGAGGTACCAGCAGTATCACATTGCTATAACAGTTTCTAAATGCTTCTCTCAATTTCTATACTTCTCATGGACCTGTAGGGAACAATTCATGGACTTGAACCAGTAAGTGAATCCCACTGAGTAGTGTTGATCTAAAGGAGGGAGCTGGAAGAGCTAGGGATGGGGGCACTGTTCCAAACAGAGCATGTGCAAAGGCCCTATGGTAAGAGATAGATAAATGATGGTGAGGAGGGAGAAGAAAAGGAAAAGAGGAAAAAAGTCTATGTGTAGTCAAAAGGGGAACAAAAGTCCAAAATAAGGCTTGAGTGGTAGTCAGAACCTTTATACCATACAGATTATTTTGATCTTTATCCTGAGAACGATGAGAAGACAATGAATTTTGCCTTGAACAGATCAGTATGGGGCAGAGAGGAGAACTGAATGGAGTGTGTAAAAATGTCCAGGACAAACCAGTTATAATGGAAGACCTGACAGCAATAGGACCGGGGAGATGGCAGTAGAGATAAAGGGAAGTGACAGAGTCAAGAGATATTTACAAAATCAGGTTACAGAACTTGGCCATGAATTGGATATGGGGATGATGAGTTACTTCTGGTTTCTGGCTTCCATAACTGGATGAATAGAGGGGCCACTCACTGAGAAAGGGAACATCACAGCAAGCCCAGGAAATAGAGAGCGATCAGGAACTCCGTTTTTGACCCAATGAGTTTGACATGGCTCAACAAGAGGACACACGTGTTGCCTTAATGAAGCCACATGTTTGCAAGCTGTTAGGTGCAAAGCCCATTCTAGAAATGTGTATTATCATGGCTGCCTCCAATATTATAAACTAACTTCTCACCCCAAACCAGAGGGCATGCTTCTTTTTACCACTTCCTTTTGTCACGCAGTTCTCCTTCTTACCTTCTTAAGGAGTGACACCATTTCCTGTGACCAGGCAGAGGGGTAAGTCACAATAGCTGTCTCAAACATGTGTGCAATTTCCTTGCTGGAGGTGCTGGAGCGAATATGGTATGGTCTCTTGAGGGCGAGAGAAAGGAAGAGTCTTCATTTTTATAGGGTTAAGAAAAAATTCTGCTTTGCCCATGTTCCCAAGCTGAATTTTCAACCAGTAAAATCTCAGTATCATTTTCTGATCCCTTCCAGCTGATTGTTGTTTTCATATGCAAATGTGGTCTAGTGTTGCCTTTAAAAAAAAAAAAAGACACCAGAAATCTCTAGTTTCCTGTGAAATCTCAGAATTTTTAAAAACTTAGTAAGTCCATTGGGCCAAATGAAACATTTCTGTACACTAAATCCACCTCTGAGATACCAATCTGGGACTGTTTTGTAAGGCAGCTTACGTGCGTATTTACATAAAACATGGGACAAGTGCTCAGTAAATGAAACTTTAAAAAAAAATTGTTACTTAAATGTTGATTATAAAGAGATCCAGAGTTTTACTCTACACCTCTTTGTGCTTTTTGAATCGGTAATAAGTTCAGGATAGAATGTTACCTAGAAAACTTTAACTCCAGTCCAAAATGCTATGAGTTGCTAGTTCTGTGGAGTGGGGTGGAGAACTTTATGATGAGGCATAGTATTTTTACCTCTGAGAGAACCAAGTTCTTTTATAGTTTTAACTTTGGGGAAAAGAAAACAGTGGTTTTGTTATATTTTTCACAGCTGTCCACTAGAGAGCAGCCTTTACCTATATTAATTTCTCTGTTTCATAAACTAGATTGAGGGGATTTTATCTTTTGTGTGAACTGTGAGCTACTTAGGGCCAGAGATCATCCCCTACTCATCTTTGTGTCCATTGGACCTAGCACCTACTAAGTGCTCATTACATGTTTGTCGAATGAACACAATTTCCATATTAGATTAAGCAACAATGGGACAGTTAATATGGGTATGTACATTCATCAAGTGCCTGGCCCTTTCAAGAACTTAATAAATGACTGTGGACTGATGGAATAAATTGGGAGAGATGGAAGAGTTTAATATTCTTCCTGTTGTAAATTAGTATTAAAAGGTAATGTGATTATAGATGGCTAATAGACACATAAAAATATGCTCACCATCACTCATCATCAGGGAAATACAAATCAAAACCCCAATGAGATATCACCTCACACCTGTCAGAATGGCTAAAATTAACAACACAGGAAACAACAGGTGTTGGCGAGGATGTAGAGAAGAGGAACCCTCTTACACTGTTGGTGGGAATGCAAACTGGTACAGCCACTCTGGAAAATACTATGGAAGTTCCCCAAAAATCTAAAAATAGAATTACCTACAATCCTGCAATTGCATTACTGGGTATTTACCCAAAGGATACAAAAATACTAATTCGAATGGATACATGCACCCTGATGTTTATAGTGGCAATATCAACAATAGCCAAATTATGGAAACTGCCCAAGTGTCCATTGACTGATGAATGGATAAAGAAGTGATATATATATATCACTTCATACACACACACACACACACACACACACACATATGAATATTACTCAGCCATCAAAAAGGAATGAAATCTTGCCATTTGCAAAGATGTAGATGGAGCTAGAGAGTATTATGCTAAGCAAAATAAGTCAGAGATAGACAAATACCATATGATTTCACTCGTGTGGAATTTAAGAAGCAAAACAAACGAACATGGGGGGTGTTGGGGGAGAGAGGCAAACTGGGAGACAGATTCTTAACTATAGAGAACAAAGTGGTGGTTCCCAGAGGAGAGGTGGGCAGGGGGACAGGCTAAATGGGTGATGGGCATTAAGGAGGACGCTTGTCATGATGAGTCCTGGGTGTTGCATGTAAATGATGAATCACTGAATTCTATACCTGAAACTGATATTACACTGTTAACTAATGGAATTTTAAGAAAAGCCTGGGGGAAACAAAGGTAATGTAATTAAGATCTTGAGCTTTGAAGGCAAAAAAGGATTTGAGTGTTAAACTGAGGCACTCGATTGGTGTTCCTTCATCTGTCCTTTATCTGTAAAATAAACCACCACATGGGATTGTTGGAAAAATTAAATGACATAATACATGTAAAATTCTCCAAAGAGCAGCTAACACATATTACACACAATGCAGGAGAGAGATTTGTATTATTCTTGAACACAGGCTAGAAAGGGTGGATATAAATGTGAATAGTGAACAGCAAGATGAGTCATCAATAAAGCGGACGTGAAGAAAGGCTTAACTCTACACACGGTATGTTAATGTCAAGTTAGTCGCGGAGCCACCAAGTGCTGGGAGTTGACTCCCTAAAAAGGAGACCGGCCAAACTTTATTTTTTATAAAAAATAGACCTTGCATAAGCGAGGTCTAAACATATATATCTGCCGCATATTTTCTTCCCACAAGACTGAATAAAGGACTGTAGATAATTCATCTGTCTCATGGTAACAATAGAGCAGAGATAACCTGTGTGACTCAGTCTCAGAAAGGAAGGGCTCGGTACCTTATCACCATGATCAATGCTTATGGAGTGTTTACTAGCCAAAGGCACCGTGGGTCACTACATGGGATTCACTCCATGTTTATACCCTTAAGAGTTGGGGCAGGTTTGGCACACTTCAGCTTCCAGGGTTACATATGTACGGGCACACATTTTTTTCTTTCTTTTAATTTCCTTCTTCATTTCATTACTGCTTCCAAACTTACTGTTCCTCACTAAAAACATATAATGATTTGATAAATGAATAAATTAACTGATAAATGCCACAGACAACTAATTTAAGTGTACTCTTTTCCTTTTACTTTAGAAGGCCATGTGACTGAACTTAATATTTTTAAAAAAATCCTCATGATCTGTCAACTTATTAAAAATAGTCAAATTGCCTTTGTCTTATACAATAACTTATCTTTCTAGTTCTAAAATTTTAAATCCATGTTAATTCATCAACTACCAGAATTGCATATTTATTCATTTGCCAAATATTTATTGAATGCCCATGATGTCCCAGCACCTCTGTTGGGCACTGGGGATACAAGAATAAGCGAGACATGATTTTTATTTTTTATTTATTTATTTTTAAAGATTTTATTTATTTATTTGAGAGAGAGAGAATGAGAGATAGAAAGCACGAGAAGGAAGAGGGTCAGAGGGAGAAGCAGACTCCCTGCTGAGCAGGGAGCCCGATGCGGGACTCGATCCCGGGACTCCAGGATCATGACCCGAGCCGAAGGCGGTCGCTTAACCAACTGAGCCACCCAGGCGCCCGAGACATGATTTTTACACTGGTGGAGACTATAATCTACTTTCAGAAACCATAACTATTTATATAGCCTCTGCACACACACATACACACACCCCTAAATCAACAGAATGCATGCTACAAAGAAATTACAGAGTGCAGTGATAGGGTATATCAAACAATTCTTACACAGCATATAAAATAAGAGCAAGAATATAAAGAATGAATAACGTGGAAAAAGTAAAACATTAGATGGGAGAAAATGAGGTGGTGTGATTATGGTCTTATTTCAGGAGTACAAGAGCAAAAGAGTTGCAGCCAAGGATATATAATTAGTGCAAAACTTTGCGTGTACCTATTGGAAGCTGACACTTAAGGATAACCCAAAGCTAGAAAAGACGGACCTTGCCTTTACAATGGCAGACAAAGCAGGTTAATAGCTAAGGGGGCCGTTCATCAAGATTGCAGTGAAGTTCAGAAACCACAGAGATGTCAGCATGTTTGTCTTTGAGGCATATATTTGTCTATAAATGAGAATTTGTAAATGTGGAGGAGATCATGGTTTAGCGCCCGTCCTCTGTGGTTTAGTTGTGTTGATAGTTGTAATTAAATGTGATTAGCTAGATTTTGAAACCTAATTACCTACAGCCCACTTGGTGATTCTTTGCTAGAAGGTGGCAGAATTGATATAGTGCCTTGTCCCCCCATTCATTCAATACACACTTGATATGTATCCATTTAAAGTTAAATACTGGGGATGATACTGAACTGTATAAGGCACATGCTTCACCTTAATGAATTTACAATATAATATACAAGAGATTATGTAAAAATTGATATACCTTGAAAAACTCACAAGGACAATACTTTACAAAATGGATTTAAATTCAATAATCCGTTAGTACCCTTTCTTCACCTTCCCCCACCCCAAAAATAGAAAGGAAAAAAAAAATGAATCTGACAATGTTAATACATCATATCACAGAGAACTACCACAGAGATAAAACCATATGGGAGGGGGAAAAATATTTTCTGGGCAAAATTCTTCCTGGCATTTTCTTAGTTTAAGAAATGCCTTCTTTAAAAGGAAGCTACTCTAATTTGCCCCCCAAACTCAGAACCTAGGAGCCAAATGACAGAGAGGAATCCAACAAGACAGGGCATGAATTGTGTTGTATTAATAATTCACACTCACCTTGGGGAACTATGTTGAAGTTAGAATCCTGTACTGTGACTGCAGAGTGATTTTCTTTAAACAAACAAATATATTTCCACAAGATATTTAGTGAGGTGCCCTGATCTGCCCTCTCTGGGAGTTTATAATACTCATATTATTCATTTAATTTTATCTACAGTTAATGTTAATTCATGCTTGGATCCATATGTAGGAGAGTGAACATGTGCCCAAATCCCGAGTATCACATGGCATAGTGCTTTCACCTTGCAAACAAACTGCTTGATTTTAGAAAAAAAAAAAAAATCCATTCTTTCATTCTAAAAATGAAACTTGCTGGAAGAGTAACCAAAGAGAAACGCAATTCTAGCATACCCGGCCTCTCAAGAGTTCATATGCCGTCACTCCCAGGGACCACCAGTCCACAGCAAAGGAATAGCCGGCTTCTCTTCTGGAGTTGAACATCTCAGGTGCTGAAAATACAGAAAAGTTAGGTCCGTTTTACAACCTGGGACATTAACAAATCTCTGCTCCCAATGTGTTCCTCCTAATTACCAGGGTAAATAAAAGGAATAAACCCTGCTGTGGGTGTTTATCAGCCCTTGCCTGATTGCTTGCAACAGGCAAAAATGGCTAATTTTCTCGTCTCAGGGGCCTCATTCATCAGCCAACACACAGGCACGCACAGGCCTTGATGGGCAAATTCTCTTCTTATTTATATCCTGTAACTATTAAAAATTGGATCCCGTAAGGCCTCAAATGCTCAGCTGACCCTAAAATCAGGAAGGCCGGGAAGATGTTATTTGTTGCCTTGATTTGAAAGGTTTGTGCTAAAGGACTGAAATGTGTATTCCTGCTGCAAACAACACTTAGAATTTGGTGCAAGGTATATTGGATTGCCTCTCCATCTCAGTCATCTAGAAGACCCAAGGGCAGCATTTACAGCCTGCTATTGGTGGTGAGGGAGAGAAAAGGAGGGAGTGGGTACTCTGAGAAACAGAAGCTTACACATCAGGTGGAGAAACTTACACTTTGTAACATAGTTATTTGAAAGGACTCCAAGGGAAGGCAAAGCTACAGTCAGTTTTGATCCCAGTGGTGACCCCCTAGTTACGCATTTTCTAAGCACTTTGATGCCCTGTGCACCTTCTTCATACTCTTCCAAGAATATACCTAGCTCGTGAGGGGTAAAGCACAAAGCAAGGGCGGTGTGCTCACCACTACACTTCTAGTGTCTAACATTGAACCTGGCATTTAGTGTCACTCAACAGAAATGTGTTGACTAAATAAACAAGGAGTCAAGTCAACAAGCAATGGTGGCAATTATTAGCTCTGGAGCCACGCCGTCTGGGGTCAGAACCTGCCTTTACCATTTATTCTGACCTTGAACAATTCAGCTGCCGAAGCTTGAGAATCCTCATTAGCAAAGTCCAAATAAGAAGATCTTTAGAGAGGTGAGACATTAAATGAGATAATGCATGCGCAAATCTCAGCTCCGTGCCTGGCCCCTAGGAAGTGCTCCAAAAACTAGTCATGGTTCTGGAGAGGCAAACATTCACAGGAATGTGAATTTTACTTGTCAACAGCTATCCACAGCTGACCCAAGCCTTTGGGACTAAGGCGCTGGCTCTGGACAAAGGAAACTGGCATGACATGAGGCCTGCACACGGGCTTGACCTAGCTAGGGTACTCAAGTCCCATGTAAAATCCTGCAGACGCCACCCAATCCGAGGTAGAATGTTGACATCCTGATGCCCAGGACTGACCCTGAAGATAAGAGCCTCATTCCCCAGTGATTTCATCTCTCACACATCACTGCCTCCTATCTTTAAGTCACAGCTCCCCATTGGTTTGGGAGTTAGTGGCCCCGACCCCACGGTACCCCCTAGACTGGATGGAAATGGGCTTTATTTCCACTTTCCCTTACCAGTCCCCTGGGTGACAGGTGACAGGCATCTCACTTAGAGAGACAGCGGAGAAGTCCGAGGGAGGAACAGGACATTGTGCTAGGAGAATACCTCACATCTGGGTATTTTCAATTTGACAGTATTGTGAACAATGCTGTCATAAACACTCCTAAAAGTCCACACATCTATAGGGTATGTTCCTGGAAGGGGAGCTGTTGGGGATACGATGTGCATCTTCACACATTCTGGATAATGCCCAACTATTTACCCTAGTGGTAGTACCAATTAACATGGTGACCAGCAGGGTATCAGAGTTGCTTTGCTCAGCCTCCTTACCTACGCTTGGTGTTAATTTGCCTTTTGAATTCTGCCAATCTAGTAAGTGTGTATTGAGCTTTCATTGTGGTTTAAATAGACATTCTCCTGGTTATTGATAAGCTTGACCACATTTTAATGTGTCTATTGGCTATTTGGATTTCCATCACTTGGTTTTCAGGCTTTACAATACCTAGACAGAAGATTTTCTTTAAAGATTTTATTCATTTTTAGAGAGAGAATGAGGGGAAGGGCAGAGAGGGAGGGAGAGGGACAAGCAGAATCCTTGTTGAGCATGGAGCCTGATGTGGGGCTCGATCTCATGACCCTGAGATCCTGACCTGAAATGAAACCAAGAGTCAGATGCTTAACTGACTGAGTCACCCAGACACCCATAGACAGTAGATTCTTGGTCAAGAAATAAAGAAAGGGCCTCAAACCTAATCCATAATTGTGATGCAATAGAAATAATTAATGAAATTTACAAAAAAAATTCTGAATTCCATCTACCCCCAAAGTCTGTGAATAATAAAGGCTTTCTGAAAAAGAATAAAGACATAGACTTGCATCTCATGTATTAAATTATATTATAAAGCTGTAATAATTAAAATTTGAAGACCCCACAGCATGTAGATGCTAGTATATAAGGATATTTAGTTTATGATGAAGATATTGTAAATCAACATAGAAAAGGTCTTATTTGGTATGTCATCTCAAAACAATTATTTAATGATCTAACAAAAAATAACGTCAGATCCTTATGACATATCTTCAGTCAAGATAATATGTAACTGGAATAAGGAAAAAAATGAAACTATAACAGTAATAAAAATATTAGGTAACCATATCCAAAATCTGGAGAAATGAAGGTCTTACTAAGAATCGTACCAAAGGTAGAAATTATAGGGGTGACTGGGTGGTGCATTTGGTTGAGGGATTGACTTTGGTTTCAGCTCAGGTTAGGTAGGATCTCAGGGTCATTGGATTGGACCCCTCGTCAGGCTCCGCGCTCTGTGTGGAGTCTGCTTGAAACTCTCTCCTTCTCCCTCTGCCCCTCCCCTCCTTGCATGCTCACTCTCTCAAATAAGTAAATAAATCTTAAAAAAAAATAAAGAAATAATAAAAAAGGTAGAAGCTATAAAAAAGACTAATGGTGTGATGATAAAAAAATAGTTCATTACATATAAAATGTCATAAGAAAAACAGCAAACTAAAAGGTAGGAAATCATATTTATAACACATATGATACACTATAATATTCTGAATATATAAGGCTCTAGAATTTTTTATATAGTCAGTAAGAAATAGGATAAAAATATTAACACCCTCATAGAAAATGAGCAAAGAATATGCACAGTTTACAAAAGAAGTCAGAGAATTTCAGTATTAGTATCATGAGGGACCATTTTAAATGATCTTTTCAGGAAGATTAAAGATATTCATTGTGCAGCCCTGCTGAGAATGCAGGGAACTGAATATTCTCAGACACTTCAGAATAAATGAGCAGAAATCAATGTGAATCTTCAGGAGGAAAATGCATTAACACATAAATATCCACTGACCAGGAATTCTTTGAATGGGACTTCATCGCAAAGATAAACAAGTTGCAGGACCTATTTCTGCTAACAGGAGTTTCATTACAAATTTATTTATGTTTCAAAATGAGAAACAACCTAACATTCAACAATAAAGAATTGGTTAAATTTGATGCAGTCCTCTAATTCTGGAGCACACAATCATTAAAAATGATAGTTCTATACACGGGCATGGGAAAAGAAACAGAGTATCATTTGCCAAGACCCAGGCTCTGGAGTCAGAGAGAAACGAGTTGCAATTCTGGCTGAGGCAGGGGTAGAGCCTGGAGACAGAGAGGTCGCCCAGCATAGCAGAGTGTTCGGGCTCTGACCCTCACAGCGGTATCCCTAGCTCCACAGGGGGCAAAGTGCTTCATTTCTCAATTTGTACACTTCAAGTGGGAATAACAATAGTATTGGCCTCACGGAAGTTTTGGTTTCAACGGTGTCATACGTGCACTTAGAACAGTGCTTGGCACTTAGGAAGAGCTCAGTGTTGGCCATTGTTCCTTCATCATCATCACCATCATCATCACCACGAGTGCTACGGCTCGAGATGTTTTCAGATGTGGGTTTAACTTTGTGCTCCACCAGTTACTTGCTGTGTGATTATGAACCTCTTTCACAGGGTTGCTTTGAGAATTTCATGGCATAATAAATGTTAAAAGCTTAGCAAAGTGTTCGGGCCGGGATAACTGCTCATTGTATGATGTCTATTGTTATCATAAAGTGAAAATTTAGGTTACAAAAATTCAGTATGATCCAACTTTAAAAAAAAATGTGTGTTTCTGTGTGCACACAAACTCTTTAATTGGGAAGAGAAGAATGTTTTCATTGGTTAAGCTCTAAGTGATCTGGATTATATTCACACAGAGGTAGGAGGGAGGGCGAGGAAGGAGGGGAGGGAGTAGGGAGCAGGGAGCTGAAAGGAAGGTGGTTCAGAACCGGGAGAAACTGCTGTATAACATGCTCAGCACCTCATCTTAGTAGATGTCATATATTCCTATCATTGTCAGTATTTCATCTTTGTTTTTTTTCTTTCTTCTTGGAATATTTTTTTTCTTTTTGGGGCACCTGGGTGGCTCCCTCAGTTAAGCATCAACTCTCAGTTTCAGCTCAGGTCATGATCTCAGGGTCCTGAGATCGAGCCCTGTGTCAGGCTCCGCACTCAGCGGGGAGTCGACTTGGGATTCTTCCTCCCCCTCCACCCCTGCCCCCACTCACGTACCTGCAGGTGCACTGCACAGGTGCCCTCTGAAATAAATAAATAAAATCTTTAAAAAAAGAATATTTTTTTCTTTCTATAACTGTAATTCGTATCCCACAGGAGCGCTAAAAAGTGGGTATGGGTGCTGGTGAATGTCTGTTACCTAGATATTACCAAATTTGGATCATAATTTTTAAAAAAGAAGAAGCAGATTTCTACCTGGGACACCTCTTAGAAAGAATCTTACCAAAAAATCAAAGGCAAAGGCAACCTTTGGATTCAGAGTTAAGGGATGACAGATACTCATTTATACTGAAACAAGAAACATTTCTAACAGTTTGGCTTACCTAAATGGATTTACAACCTTTTACAGACCACAAATAATTTCTAATAAATTTCTCCCTTAACTCTCTTTCAGGAAGCAGCTTGACTTTCTGAAGTCAGAGCTTACTTTAAATCTAAGCTTTTTCAATTATTAGCCATGTGATCTTGGGCAAATGACTTAGCTTCTTATTTTCTCATTGTAAAATGGTGGTAATTATAGTCTGCTTCATAGAGTCGCTGAGAAAAAAATAAATGAGTAAATGAACATTAAACATTTAACACATTGTCTGGCCCATAGAAAGCTTTCAATAAATATCAGTAATTGTTAATTATAAGGGTGAAGCTGGAAAAGCAGAGAGAACCTTGAATGCACTCCAATTTCCTAGCTCTGTGTTGTGAAAGGGCCTGAAATGCCAAATATGAGGAGAAGTAAATTATACGGATATTGTATTTAAAATCACTGGGGAGAGAAAAGAAGAGTAGCCTCCCTTTACTCCTCTCACCATGGAAACCAGGCCTAGAAAACCCAGATGCACATTCTGATTTGGCTCCAAGAAAATAGCCCTTAATATGGAAACCCAGGAAACCTGCAGAATAAATTCATCAGACCAGCGGGCTCAGATATTCCCTTTTATCATCTGAGAACTGTGAGTTTGAGGCAGAAAATAGGCTGAATTATATGTGTCCATTATTTTAGAAGTGACAAAGGAGATTTATTCCCCGCACTGGTCATAGGAAGCCAGGAAATTTGTAGTTATTCAAATATCATCTAAAATAAGACTTATTTTTTCCCAGAGGATTTCTTCTCTTGGGAAGTGACGTGGCCCTGTATGTAGGGGTTTTCTTTTCCTCTCTCTAGTTATATGAGGAAGGGAATGACATATTAAAAGTGGCTTTGCTCTTACCCTTGATTTCAAGGTCAAATATTTTGCTCATAAATGACTCTGACCATATTTAGTCAGTACAATTCACGACCCCCTAATTCCACTGGCTTAACCAGTGAATTATCTGCTTTAAGCATCTCAACTAATTAGGGTAGAAGCAGAAATAGTTTTTTTTTCTTCCATATTCTGCCAACAACCATGCAGTGTCTAGGTTCCCATTTGTGTTGGGTATGGGGCTCCCTTAATGATAGTTCATAGTCTCTTGCTTAATACATTTTAATGCTTTTTGCCCATTAAAACATCTACTTCAGATACTTTACATTTCAGTCCTATGAATTTAAAGACTAATCTCAAGTCTGATCCAGAGCTCTCTCCTACAATGGGGCTAGATTCAGCCCCCTTGGTGTGAAGATTGCCAACCTGGCTGTCATATCCCTTCTCCCTTTTCCTAGAAAATACCATTTGTTTTAGGACATGGAAGAGGGAGAGTGGAGGCAGAGGGATCCTAACACAAATGCCCTGGGGTGATCTCTCTTTAGTTGCTTCTAATAGCTGACGTGGCTCCTTGTCTATAGCAGAGTTTCTCAACCCTGGCTGCATGGCAGAATTACCTGAAGAGCTTTTCAAGCACCCTGTGCTTGGGGGGGGCACCTCCAAGATCCTGATATAGTTGAGCTCTATTGGAATTGGTGGTGTTTCTAGTAAGCCACGCCAATAGGAACCGCCCTCCCTCTAGGCTACTGGCGGGGTCCCTCACAAGCTGGATCCCACCCTCTGGCTAATCCAGACACACACTCAAACACTGCTGTCTGTCTCCTGATGTTATGGTCCCCAGGAAGACTTAACTCCACGGACAGATCGGGCTCTGTGTGTACCAGGACCAGTCAGCACGTACGGTGAGGAACCAGACATGGACCAAGCATGGAAATCCAAGTCACTCACCTCACAGTTACCCACAGAATTTCCAGATACATCTCTTGAGATCTGACTCACCTATCCTAGGTGGGGAGAGTGGAAAAGCCCCTCTTCCTGAATCCCTTTGGGGAAAGGACAGCAGTTGTCTCTTTACATTTCTGGGGATGGGTGGGAGACAAGGCTAGTTCTGCCAGAATGGCGTCCAGAGATGCTCCAACAAGAGCACTTAAGAATTTGTAGTAATTGCTGAGTGTTAACATAATTAAATGTGAGACCTTCTTGACAGTTTTGGCACCTAACCTTATCCTTTTAGTCACCCTCGGGGTGTATTTTGAATCTTCAGGCAAAATCCAGTTCCCCGTCTTTAAAAAGGAGAACTCATGGGTTTGTCATGGTGCTAAAACTAAAAGTAAAATGACATCTGGGAGGCGCTGTGTGAACTTTACAGCCCTACGTGTGTAATGCGGGGTTATGTAAATGATGGGCATAGTAATTCTTATGTCACTTATCACCATCGGACTTATTACTGTACTTTACTTCTATTTGATTCTATTTTTTATTTTTTAAGAAGATTTTATTTATATATTTATTTATTTATTTATTTAGGAAAGCGAGAGAGAGAGAGAGAGAGAGAGAGAGAGCGAGCGCTTGTGAGTGGGAGGGGCAGAGAGGGAGAGACCAAGCAGACTCCACTGCTGAGCGCGGAGCTCAATGCAGGGCTTGATCTCATGACCCCGAGATCATGACCTGAGTCGAAGCCAACTGACTGAGCCACCCAAGTGCCCCTGATTCTATTTTTAAAAACTTCTCTCACTAGAAGGTAAGCTCCATGAGCCAGAGACCTTGTGTATTTTGCTCACTTACAGGATCACCTGCCGCGGATACCGTGCCACGCCCCCAGAGGCAATTCGTAGATATTTATTCAATCAACCACTATTCTTTGTTAGGAAGTGGGTAGAAGCTGTCCTGAATAACTCATTAAACAGTGTTTCGAAGCGTGCTTCGACCTGAATCAAGGTCAGATTGGGTGCTTGCTAAATGGAGCCTCCTGAGGCTCACCTCAGACCCGTAAACTCAGAAGCTCCCCAGGTAAAGTCACAGGAGAACTTGGCATTCCTAGCTGCAAGTGCCTCCAGATGACTGGACCTGGATTAAATGTCTACCGGAACAAAAACGCCAAGCCTTGCTCTTAGCACTGCCGCTCACGGAGCCCGTACCCATGTAAGGCTTGGTGCCCGCCGCGGTGGCGAGCCGCGTCTCCCTGGGCAGCATCGCGGCAACGTTGAAGTCTGTGATGTGCACGTGCCCTGGAGAGACAAAAGCAGCACACAGAACGGTAAGCCCCATTCAACTCCGCGGCACAGCCATGCTTCTAACAGCCTCTGGAAGCTTAATCTGTCAATACTTGCGAGCCTGTTGCAAGTGTGCAAGTAGCAGTACCATTATTCTGCCCTCACGACCAGCATGGTCATCAACGAACTGAGTATCTGTTGGCAAACCTGCAGTTCAATCTCAGAAACTTTTAACCTGCCTGGTTAAGAGCTCCCACTCTGGTAAGTCCCCTTACGATTTTTTTGTTGGCAACATTTTAACTTGGTGACACCTGTGAGCATCAGGAGGGAGGCAGCCGAAAGGCATTCTACGTATCAAATTTCCAAGCATTTTTCCAAGTGTCTCTTAGGGGACTTTTTTTTTCAGAGATAAATATCGCTACTCTAAAGCTGACACAAATGTGGATACATGTATTTATTTCTTTGCCAAGCAAGAGGCCTTTTTCCTCCTTGTTTCTCAGATGTAGCGTGAGTATTTTTTTGTCTGATAGTTTAGGTTGTCCTCTACCCACCCGTAACAGAATAATGTATTAAGGGAAGGCAGGGGCAAAAAAGTCAAGTTTTATTTATAAAGAGGCCGTAGAATGAGCCCTGGGCAGCGAGCCAAGAGACCTGAGTTCTGCCCTGAGCTCTGCCCTGAGCTCTGCCCCTAATATATCATAGCCTTTCTGTCCCTTTTCTATGTTGAAGCCAAGTTTCTTTTTGTAAAAAAAGAAAAAGAAGAGAAAAAGAAACGGGTGAACTAGCTCATCTCAAGGGTCTCTCTCGGCTCTGACACTCATGACATAGAGTGTGGGTCTAATACCTCCGCTCCTCACGGAGCAGCCCCTGCAAAGTGTTAGAGTCCCTGCATTTCCAGCCGGAAGGAGGAAGAGGGCAGTACGCAGCCGCCCAGGCAGACAGCCCGATTTGTTAGCTGTTGGCACAAAATTCATACACTTGCCGAGGCCCTGGAAGGGTTGGCATTTCCATTTCCATGCTCTGTGGTTCTGATGAGACACGGCTGCTATTGGAGGGGATGCCATCTGATCCTTCTTCCGTGTCTCCCAGTCCACGCTCCTCACTGCCAGACCTCTCAGTCTGCTCCCTGATAGCATTCAGCGTGCTGCTGAAGACAAACCTCACTGCCTTTATTGCTGGGGTTTTGTTTTGTGCAAAAAAGTGTTTTGTGTCGCTGATGTGATGACATTTTAATAAAGTAAGAGTAGCACTCGTCGGGTTGAAAGTGAAGATATCCTTTCCCGAATGGTACCAACAGATAATTTTGGTAACTCTTTTATCACACTATAGGTTGTCTCAGTTTTTTCTTTCTTTCTCCCCGAGTCATGCTCAAGTGGCTCACTGATACAAATTAGGTCAGCCTGGAGACACTGTAGTTAAGAAGAGCTTGTTCTCTGGAGTGAGACTGCTTGGCTTCAAGTCCAAGTTTGACCACTAACTCACTGTGTTACCTTTAAAGGTGACACCTTCTCTGTACAGTTGGGATGGCAACAGGAATTTTCTTATGAGTTTATTGGGAAGATCATTTAATTCAACTATCATTATTGTCATTACTTCTACCTTTTTCTCACTCTGTTTCTGCCTGAGGATCTTGACCACCACAGCACTCCTGGCCGCCATAACCAGTCAGCAGAAACCTCCAGCTTTCAAACATTTCCACTACCCCAAAATGTTGAGCGTCTGGGTGCCACATCTTCCGGGATTCTTGTTAAAAATGCATATCCTGGGGCGCCTGGGTGGCTCAGTCATTAAGCGTCTGTTCAGGTCATGGTCCCAGGGTCCTGGGATCGAGCCCCGCATCGGGCTCCCTGCTCCGCGGGAAGCCTGCTTCTCCCTCTCCCACTCCCCCTGCTTGTGTTCCCTCTCTCGCTGTGCCTCTCTGTCAAATGAATAAAATCTTAAAAAAAATGCATATCCTTAGGCACTAGCTGAGACTTAGTGAAGATGGTTATTGGGAATAGGGTACTGCTATTCTCTCTCTCTTTCTCTCTCTTCATATATTTATTATCTATGTATCTACTGATGCCTATAGGTAGATATATAGATATAGGTATTTAGGGATAGATTGATTTTTTAAAAAGATTTATTTAGTTTTAGAGAGAGAGAGAGAGAGAGAAAGAAAGGGCAGAGGGAGAGTCTTAAGCAGACTCCAAGCTGAGTGTGGAGCCCGACACGGGGCTAGATCCTATGACCCTGAGATCACGACCTGAGCTAAAAGCAAGAGTCAGACGCTTAACCGACTGTGCCACTTAGGCACCCCTAGATAATTTTTTTCCTTAAAAAAGATGCTTCCCACTAGATTTTTAGTCCTGTTTTGGGACCCACCCAGCAAGGAAGAAGCTGTTCAGATAGCATGCTTAGTGCTTCCTCCTAACCCCCAGACCGAGTTTTTGCCTTTCTCGGTTCCCTGGGACTAGGGATGATATTAAGGAAACTAAATTATAGATGATGCCATAATTGTCATTTCCTCAGATATGCCAGGCAGACATTATTGTTCCTCTGGATGCAGCATTTATTTCCTGAATAATTTAAGACAACCACAAAAACTTAGACACTATGGAATTGATAGAATTGGACGGGGTACTTAAGTTGGTAGGATATGAAAATATTTATCAGGACGATTGATGATGAGCCATCTGAGATCTAATGTCAGCCTGGGTTCTGAGCTAGTGAATGAGACATTTGAGGAGAACAGTAACAGGTATGCTCTAAATTAAAAACATTTTTTCACTCCCATTCTGAATGTTCATTGACACGGTGGGAAGATTCTCCATTTTACAAAGGGCTTCAGCTCCTTTAAGTACCAGTCTTTTCTGATGAATATGAATGAATATGAATCAGTAAGAATAAAACAAAGTTTCTGCCTGTCGCCGAATGGCGCTGAATTAGAATGTAAGCAACATGGTGTGATACACAGCTCACTTGGGGGAACAGGCGTAGGAGGCATGTCAGAGATAGGCAATTAGCCTTCACGGTTGCTAAAATCCCCGTGCAAAAGGCGCATGTGATGGCCCGTCAGGGTTGAAACACTATAAATGTGGATGGAGAGGACAAATGGGGGTTTCTAACTGGAGACATGGAAAAGCACGCCAGCAGACACTTGAAAATGCACCCATTGATTTGTGGGGCAGCTGATTCTCACAGGAGAAACTCTACAGAATGTGCTCAGGGCTGGGGGTTATCAGGGATGTATTCATTTAAGAGTGGCTGATTACAGTCCCTGAGCCATGCCGGAAAGCCTTAGTTTCTCAGTAAATAACCTTAAAAAATTATATTCTTCAGAAGGGGAGCCCCAGGACAATGTTTAGAGAATAGCTCTCTATCTTTTTTGTTTCTTTGCTTCTATCCCCTTCACAGATCTGTTCCTTTCCAGAACAATGTTTCTCTTATTAACCGTGGTGGTTCTCAAGTTGAGTTCAGGATGAGAAAATAATACAAAAAAAAAGTCCTATTAATTCATTGTTGAAACCCCAAACCTTAATAGTGAAAGCGTCATTGTAAATAGTTCACCAGGTAACAGGTGTAGACTGCGATGGTCCCTCTGGCCAACTGGGACGGCCGCTCATACTCCCTGAGCAACCGAGCCCCAGCCTTAGCAAGAAAAAAATGCCCCCAAAACTGGGCTTAGCCCCCTGCGCCCAGGAGGGAAAAGCAGAACAGACCACTGAAGGCATAGCTGCCTGAGAATTAGTGCTGAACAAAACTGCATAAACATAAGAGCTAACAAGTAGACACACAGAAGCTTTGGCATACGCCTTCTGGAACCAAAATAATTCTGGTGAAGGGTAAGGGCCCAGCTTTCACTGACCACCTGCTATAGACAGACCCACATAAAACAAGATGTGGAAGCCTTAGCTTGCTTCTTTAGGGGAGAATGTCACTACCTCATGGAATGATACTAATATTTATCTTCTGAGTGATTTCCTTGTGGCAGACACTGCAATCAGCACTTTATAAATAGTATGCTAGTTCATTTTTAGAGTGACTCTAAGAATTAATTACTCCTTTGGTTCGTCACAAAACTGAGACTCAGAGAAAGTTTAGACAGTCTGTGGAAACTCTCAGCGCTAGTGATTGGTGAGGCGGTGAACTGGGTCTTGAACTCAGGCGACTGGGCTCGAGAATCCATGCTTTTAACTATAATATTACACAATTATTCTTTCACGAGGGTGGTTTCTAAGGGCAGGTAAACTTGAAGATTAAGTTATTTCTGGACCATTCTTCTAATCTACAATCACCAAGTTGGCAAGAAAATAAGAAGGGGAAAGAAATCGAATGAGAGAGGATCAGATGACCTTATGGTGGAAATAAGATGAAGCCATATTTGAGGCCCAAGATGAAAATGTCGTTCTCTGAATGGAAGGTAAATCTTGAAAAGATGGTAGTCAACAGGACCCAAATGTCTCCCTTCGGGGCCTCAACAAGTGGTAGAGCAATATATTCTCCACAAAGGCAACCAGAAAAGGGAGCAGGTGGGGACAGAACCCCAGACTGTGTTTTGCCTGACCAGCCACGCACCTTCATAAGGCCGGGGTGGGGAGACAGAGAACCTTCTTCTAAATTGTGCAGAAGCGGCCTCTATGGGGGAAGGGAGGCCCTCCCCGCAACTGTGAAGCCCCACAGAGTTTATCTGCACCAGGGTGAGAGAGGCTCCTGCCTCCTCCCTAATCATGGACAGCCAGTGTTCTCATGAATGTCACCTTCACGCCAAGTCTCACTCTTGCTCACATTTTGGAGACTGCGAGAATCTGCTCCCGCATGTCAGAAGCAGTAAAGGGAAGGAAGAAATTAGGCACTGGAAGAAAGTGGAAATAATCTTTTTAGACAGTCCATAAATAAATAATGACCCTGAGCTTCGAAATTAGAGGTCATACACAAAAGTGTTTCTTAGCCCTCTGAGTGCAGGTGGGGTCTGGCAAATCAGGTTGGAAATGCAGTGAGGTAAATAAGTAATGAGCAATGGATGGTACTTGGAGTTGCAGGCCCACTGCAAATCCCTTTTGTAAAAGTCAAATGAATAAGGAGCCCTGCACACTTAGGACTCCCTCATCCAACACATGATGGGCATGTCCTGAGCACATCAGAAAGATCTTAGTGCCGCTGTTAACATTTATAACCTGCAGGCTGTGTGTCCTACGGGTCTGCCCTGATGGACCAGTATATCCAAACATACATTAAAAGGAACAGTGGGAAGAGAGGACACCCATTAATCATTATTGGCGAAAGCTTGCTCTCAGGATATCCTTAATCTGTGTTTCTTGGGTTTCCAGCCTTCACTGATCACCTTCATGGTTACTGCCAAATCCCCGTATCACTTTCCCATCTAGATGCCTCATACACTGTTGTCCGCTTTCTCTTTTTCTTTAAATTGATGAGCTTTCTTAAACTGAAAAATCTTCGAACCGAAAACTTGGTATCTCTTCTGCAAATGTGAAACCAATTTTCCCTCATAAGAAGAAAAGCATAAAAGTAGATGCAATGAGAACAAAATGGTGTCACTAATCATTCAGTAGATACTCTTGCCTGCCACATGCTCTGAGCTTGAGGCCTTTTCTGCTTTATTAAAAAAGAGGTGATTTTTAGAAAGATATTAAGGCAAATTAGCACCAAAAAAACTGCGATGGTTTTCTTGGAAAAAATCAGTAGAAGTGTAACAAAGTTGAAAAGGGAGTGACTTTTTCATTATTTAAATATAATGTTATTTGAGGGTATCCTAGGGTACCTTGCCACTGCTACAATAATGAAGTTCACCATCTTGTCCCTCCTACACATCAAATCAAGTTTGTGCATAGAACTCAGCTGAATCAAGCAGGGCATTTTCCGTGTGTAATCCTCCTTTGCTGGGGTAATCGTTTTTGTCCGACATGCTTTTTCTTTTTTTTTTTTTAATGAAGAAATTTATTTTTATTTATTTTCCTTTATTTTCATTCTTCCTCCTATTTTTTCCATATACATCTATTTTGATTTATTTACCTTTAATTCTTTTTTTCAGGTTTTTTTTACTCTTTTATTATTTTAAATTTTATTTTAAATCTACATTTTTATATGTGATTGCAATTAATGCAAATGTATGATATTTATACCAATTACTTGTGCTGTAGCAATCAACCAGTTGCTAGTACTAAATGTTTTTTTTCTTTTTTTTAATTATGTTATGTTAATCACCATATATTACATCATTAGCTTTGGATGTAGTGTTCCATGATTCAGTGTTTGTGCATAACACCCAGTGCTCCACGCAGAACGTGCCCTCCTTAGTACCCCCCACCCCCCTCCCTTCTAGAACCCGCAGTTGGTTTCTCAGAGTCCATCGTCTCATGGTTCGTCTCCCCCTCCAATTTTTCTATGTGCAAGTCATGTTGATTGCAAACAAATCATTTACTTACCATGTTCATCAAGCAAAATATTGTCAGGCTTCATATCCCTAGGAAAGTAAAAGGAAAAGAGAAAGTTGCTCATAAACAAACAAACAAACAAACAAACAAACCAGAACTAAAGGGTAAAAGTGAAAATACACAAGAGTTCCAAGTAGGGTTGAAACAATGAGCTAGCCCATCATCCTTCACAATCTCATCCAGTTACCATGGTGAATCTCTAACTCGGTTACCATGAAGACTCCCAAATTCTAGATCAGAAAACAGGGGCTTAAAGAGGTTAAGCAACTTAAGTCACAGAGTTAGTAAAAGGAAGAATTGGGCTTTGAGCTTGAGTCTTTCTCATTCGAAAGCTCACATTCTTTTCTTTTTTTAATTAACATATAATGTATTATTTTTTTCAGGGGTACAAGTCTGTGATTCATCAGTCTTACGCAATACCCAGTGCTCACCACAACACATACCCTCCCCAGTGTCCATCACCCAGCCACCCCATCCCTCCCACCCTACTCCACTCCAGCAACCCTCAGTTTGTTTCCTAAGATTAAGAGTCTCTTATGGTTTGTCTCCCTCTCTGGTTTCGTCTTGTTTCATTTTTTCCTCTTCGAAAGCTCACATTCTTAAATTCTTAAGTAGCATATGACTTGTAAACATGTAAGTATAGCTCCTAGGGTCACAGGGGCAATTAAATTGCCATAAGGTAGTAGTACTCATTATCGTTTTCATCTGTGTCACTGGACTGAACTTCAAGACTCTACAAAACAGGGGCACCTGGGTGGCTCAGTTGGTTGGGCGACTGCCTTCGGCTCAGGTCATGATCCTGGAGTCCCGGGATCGAGTCCCACATCGGGCTCCCTGCTCGGCAGGGAGTCTGCTTCTCCCTCTGACCCTCCTCCCTCTCATGCTCTCTGTCTCTCATTCGCTCTCTCGCAAATAAAATCTTAAAAAAATAAAAATAAAAAAAAAGACTCTACAAAACAAGGGAAAAATGATATGTAATATGGTTATATTTTAAACCTGAAGAAATTAGAATCTTTTTAAGGATGAAGCTCTAATGCTTCTAGTTACTTAATAAATATTATTGCTGGGGTAGTTAAAGGAGTGGGGCTTGTCTTGCAGACACTAGTGAGATCCTTAAATCCATAGGCAAGAACAAAACTCACCTTCTTCCAGGGAAGGGAGTAGTTTGATGGTAAATACTTAGAGGAGTGGCCTGCAGCATTTTCAGAGTCCTCATGACACGAGTATTAGCATGAGCAGCTCTCCTCAAGCAGAGAACAGCATTGTCGTTTTTAAGGGCCCTTGCTCTTGGGTTCCCAGGGTTTTACTGCCCTTCCCTAATGCACCATTGAAGTCCTTCAACCTAAATTCACAAAAGCCATTTAAGATAAAATTCTGCAATAGGTTTTGGGGACGCATTTTCAGCCTAGTCAAGTGGCTTTTATGTCACTAGAATAAGATGACCTTAGTCTTTGACAGACCAAGCATGTCAGGGTCCTCTTTTCTTGAAAATATTAATGAATAACAAGCCCCTTACCTACAAGCAGCGCAAAGTATATGCCACACCAACGTGCAGGTGCATGGACGGTCTCATGAACTTTGAATATTTTCTTATTTTGCTTGTGAGGTTCCTAACATGAATTCTGGCTTCATAAGTGAACATCTGTATGTGTGGCACATTTTTCTCTGGTGCAGGGTACAACTGGCTAAAAGAGAGTGTCGGAGGGTTTCAAACTGCCTGTTTCTATGGCTGAACTCTCTCTCAGCATTGCAACTCCACCCCAAACCCTTTGATGGATTCCAGTGTTTCCAGAATTAGGCAGTCCAAACTCACTCATATGAAATAAAATCCCTTTCATCATCTGGCTCCTGTGCTGCAGCCACACACAAGCACCTGGGGTCCCCCACATGCTCCCTGTGTCTCCCCACCTTCTGCTTTTGCTTTGCCTGAATCAGAGCTCTCTCACCATGGGCTCAGAAGAAGCAGATTCATCCCTTGACTCAAAGCTCCAATGCCACTTCCTTCAGGAAGCCTTCTCTGAATTTCCAGTTCTGAGTCATTTCCCCCTCCTCTGTGCTCTGCGTCGTATACTTCTAACAGCATAACATTTATCATGCTTATATCTATTTTTTCCCAACTGGATCGTAAACTCCTGATGTCAGGGATGGTGTCTAGGTTAATGTCATATTCCATTACATAGGCTCACAGTGCTTGGTAGGCAGTAAATGAATGACTAAATGATACCAGGAGAATTTCTAGTGCATTCAAGAAGGTTAATCCTAGTGGTATATACCAGAGCAGTAATGGTGTGCCATCAAATACTGTGCAATTCAAAGCTCGATGTAAACCGGGTATTAGGCTCTTGCTCCTTCTTCCAGACCAGCCCCAGTGAGCATCAGCAAAAAGGAGGCCCCATGGAGCTCTGACGGGAGGGAAGACACTTGGGTATGACAAGATTAGTACAATGATTTATTTGCCTGAATTTATGAGGGCTCGGTGAGAAAAATGACTTGCTGTGGGCTTGACACTTTGGGAACTTTCTATGAAATCCTAAAACATCATTTTTCTTAAGTATCAAAGCCACATCTCATTATAGCCACTACCTTTCCCAGAAACTACCTTGAAGCTTAAAGAATAATACAGAGATCAGAGAGGTAAAAATTAGCTCATGTGATACTTCTTACTTCAGTCTTAGATTCATTTATTCATCAAATACTTACTACTTTGATAAGCCACTGTGCCAGAATATAGGAAATATAAATGAGGTCTACTTCTTTCTGGGATGGAGAGGGTAAGAAAGTTCAGAAGGAACTACGCCAAAAGGTTTACAGTGGTAAAGGGGCATGCTTACTACTAAATTCGGAGAAGGAATAAGAGGAAAATATAAGACAAATATTTAAAAAGTGGACTTTTAACATAAAAATAAAGTCTATAAACACAAATTCTGAGTAAATAGCTTCCCCAAAATGTGACGAGGTAACTTCTAAGTCACTATGGGGTAAACTGCAGTATGCTAACATGGTTTATTCACATACCAGAAGAATGAAATATGAATGAAAATAAACCCTGTGTACTATATTAACATTCCTGATAGAACAAGTTGATATTTTCTAGTTTTGAAATTTAGCAGCACTTCCTTATCTCGTTAGCCTGGTCAAATAATACTAAGTATGAGAGAACTTATTCTAAGCCGTTTCTTTCATTTAAGGTGACCTATACTATGGTTTAACTCCATGGTTACATTCAGAATCACCTGGCAGGGCTGTAAACAACATGGGTTCTCTGACCTAGTTCAGTCCTGAGGCAGTCGGACTCTCTGTGGCTGGGCCTACGTGTCTGGCCAAAAACACGCAGAGACTTCTAGGACCTTCTGATGTATAGTCGTCTTCAGAAATAACCATCCGGGCATTGTCCACAGCCAAAGATGTCAATCTGACTTTTAAACTATGAACCTCTTAGAAACTTATCCATGAACGAAAAGGCATTGGAAAAGCACAGCACTTAGCATTTTTGACCAAATTCTTTGGTTAAGATATATATGGAGGACTCTTAACAACTTCCATATCATCAGCAGGTCATGAATGAGTTCCCTCTCTCTCTCTCTTGCTATTCATCATTCTTGATGATGACAATGTCTTTGTGGATGTTTCACTGAATCCCTTAGCACTCACTTCCCCGAATTCCCTCCAGTTATCTTTCTGTCTGTGGACCCCAGTCGTTTCCTTTTTCCCATGTCCTAACTGTTCCTTGGCTGTTACAACAGCCCGCCCCCTGACCAACCTCACCTTCTATCCAATCCACTTCCCAAGCTGGCACATGCAGCACCCTGAGGCCACCAAATATTGATTCTGTCACTTTGCATTTATGCATCACAACTCTCACTCATTTCCTCAGTTCCCTTCCCCAGCCATTGTTAACATTCCTTGTATAAATCTTTAATTCTCTTACCCCCTTCAATTGTTCTCACCTATTAAAACCCCAGTATTGGTTAAACCCAACTCCCCCATCCCTCTCACCTACACCGAAGCTCCTGAATTTTCCTAGAAACAGTCATAGTAATACTGACTTCTCACTCAAACTCATGGCCACACATCTCAAGCCAGCACCCGTGTGCCAAGCCATAGTGAGATGCCTTCTCCAAGAGGAGCACTGCACACTTTCCCATGGCCTTCAGGTTTCTTCCATGTTCCCTCCCACTTTCTCTCAGTTGATGACTGCCCCTCCTTACTTCACGAAGACAAGAGAACCATCTGCCACTAAGTCTGCCAACCTCCCCGTTTCTATATCCATACTCATGGCCTTGCCTCCAGTTATACTAGATGAAAAGCCCTTGCACCTACCCCAGTCAGCTCTTCTCCAGGGGCTCTGGATCTTATCTCCTCTCATCTTCTCATGGATTTCTCTCAGCTAGGTGTTCCTTCCTTCTCCTACACCTTCTCTTTCTGTCTCTCTTGTATGAAGTATGTTATGATTGAGTCTCTTGGAAATACCTTCCTTGATGCCGAGTGACTTCCACTTATCGTCCCATTTTACTATTTTCCTTAGCAATAACAACTCTGGATTGAGTGGTTAATAGAAATTAGAAACAGCATCTCCATTCTCCTCCTCAGCTGTTCTAACCAGGCTTCCATTCCCCTCTACTTCCTGAAATTGCCCCTGTCAGGTACATTGATGACCTCCAGCTTGCCACATCCATTGGCTGCACTGTTTTTTATCATGCTTAACTTCTCTGTGGGCTGATCATTCCTTCCCTTCTGACATACTTTATTCTTGTGGCTTGCAAAAAAACCCCTTTCTCCTTCTTTTCCTTCTGCCACAGAGATTCCTCCTCTGTCTTGTCTGCTGGTATCTTCTTGTTTCAACTTCTAAATATATAGTATTTATATTTATATAAATATATATATATATAAAGTATATATACTATATACAACTACTCTCTACTTAAGTTACTTCATTTAGTCCTGTGATTTTAAATATTATATATATATATATATAAATATATAAAATCTCTATCCCTGACCCTGGAATTCTAGATTAATAATATATCAA